TTGTTCTTTCCATCATTATAACCAAGCAAGAAAATATTTATGAGTTTCAAGTCCCTTTTTAGCCAACGAATTTGCAAAATGGTCTTGTTCTCTACATATAGGGAAAAAATAATAGGATCCCTAAGTTTTGGCCTATGAGGACCTCTATTTTTAAAAAGAACCCTAAATTTTGATTCTGTCAACAGTTTGATCCTTCCGTCTAAAAGATTCCTTTTTTTTCATTAGTCTTTGCGACAAAGTGAGTCCAATGAGTGAGAAAAATTTTAAACTTGCAACCCTTGTCATCTTCTCTTGCTACCCCAAGTCCTACCGCGGCAGTTTGCAGTTGCTGAACAAAGAGCCATTTCTAGTGAACTCATGCACCCTGCAAATTTGTTTTATTATAACTTCCAAACATTTGCCTCTGCTTTCTAATTAAGGTAGGACATATGATTCAAGCTGAATTTGATCCACAGAGGAGAGATGAATACCTGCAGATGTTGATTGGTCTCCCAAACCAGGTTTGTTTCATTATAGATTGATTCTCTGTCCACCCTTCCCTTTCTCCCTCCGTCCCTACCTCTCCCCCTCCTTCCTTCCATGTGCTTCTAAATCTTGAAGATTTGGTAAATAAGATGGAAATTGAAAAGCCATTAGTTACTCACATTTCGCATGAATGATAGGATATTCTCTTACAATGATAAGCAATAGTATTATTCTGAATTTGTTAATTTAGCTCATATATATCTATGTGTATTATTTAATTTTTTTTCTAATATATGGTATTTGATTTCATGAAATAATTATTAATTTATTCTTAGATTGATGTTTCGAAGACCATGGTAGAGGTTTTTGAGACAATGAAAACTTATTTAACACCTTTATCACAAAAAATGGAGGCTGAAGTTATATCGGAGGCCAAATCTGAACTTGAGGGCGATGTTGTGGATGTGGTTGAAGCTAAGGCTGTAAGTGAAGTTAATTTAGAGGGTTTTTTTGTACTTACACGTTGATTTAACGTTAAAAGCGTTTGTTTTGGACGGAAGGACCAAACTGTTGACGGAGTCGAAATTTAAGGACTTCATAATTGTTTTTTAGAAATAGACGTCCTCCAGTGTCAATTAGGCCAAAACTTAGGGATTTCGATATTTTTTTCCACTACACTACATATATGTAAGAATTGAACTGAACATGAAAATTCACATGTGCTATCAAATCTATTGAACAATAATCTTCACCGCCAAGGTCATTTTTTCTTTATTTAAAACTCAACACACAATAGATTTTGAATCAGATTCAATAAGAAAATTCACATGTGCTATCAAATCTATTGAACAATAATCTTCACCGCCAAGGTCATTTTTTCTTTATTTAAAACTCAACACACAATAGATTTTGAATCAGATTCAATAATTAATGGTGAGAGTTTGAACTGAGATCGAGAAAACAATTCTATAGCCCTGAAAATTGCTCTTAGTTCAGCTTCATTAGAGTCAATAATGCCAGCTGATTGAAAAAATAGATACTTTACCTCATTCTTATTGTTCCTTAACATGCCACCGAAACCATATTAATACTTATTTACATCTAAAACTCAAATTCAAACTCATAAGTTCAAATGCAAATTTACAATTTATCCTAATAGAATAAATAAGAGATAATAGCTTACATATTTTGATCTTTAAAACTCAAAATTTTTAAAACTCAAATAATTTGATTTTTGGACATTCAAATAAATAAAGATTAAATATTATTATTAATCAAAACATTAATTAATTAAATATTTTCAATTATTTTTATTCACAAGCAAAATACTCCTATTATAACCTAATCATTTAGTAATAAATAAATACCCTCATGCGAAGCGTAGATTAACGATCGGTTGAAAGGATATGCTTATGCATAACATTCGAGATAATTGTTCTTAAAAACGACATGAGTTAAGGTTAAATGTAATAGAATACGACAAATCGAATGTATAAAAGGGATATTGTACCAAATTTTAGTTTTTGAAACTTATTTTTAAAAAATGTTAGTTTAACTTTGAGAATTGAGATTTAAATTATTGTCGTTTATGGTATACATTTACTGTTGTGCCTTCTTTTCAGGACACTACAAAGCAAAATATTTCAGTGTTTTCTTTTTTTTTTCCTGTTTCATTTTTTCCAGTGTTGCATTTTTTTCGTTTTCTCCTTTTTGGTGCTGCTGTTAATAAAATGATCTTTTTTAGTGTTTGAAACTTGTTCATCCGCCATTATATTTTCTTATTCTTTCTTCTCTTCCACGGTTGCGTTTTTTGAGGTTTGTTGATTTCATTTTTCAATTGTGGTTTCTTATTTTAAATAATTATTTTCGTTTTTTATTTTGTTGTTTTTTTTACGGTTTTATTTTTGTATAAGTGTATCCGTGGCTTAATGCTCGCCAAAAAAACTGTCACCGTCATAGATATTGTTTATGCTTTGAAGAAAAAAGGTAGGACTCTCGATTTTATTTAAATAGATACTGATACAGTATATATATGTATATCATATTTACTTGGTTTGATTGGTTTTACATATGTGTATATACCGTATGTATATATATATACATATGTGTATATACCGTATGTATATATATATAAATATATATATTATATATATATATATATATATATATCATATATAGTATATTAAATCGTATATTTAAGAAAGGTCCAATAGCCGAAATATCGTATATTTATAGAAGGTCCAATAGCCGAAATTACATGGTAAGCTACATATGAATAACCCTTGGCTTGATTCTTCAAATTGATGAAATTCAAGACGACTGGAACTCGAGACCTCTCATTTCTTACAGTAGTGAGAAGATCAATTAGATCAGATCACACATGATTGACAATAGGGGTGAGCATCCGGACAATAGGGGTGAGCATCCGGCCAATTTGAGTAACTTTTTTAACTGAAATAAATTAACTGAAATTTTTTTGACTTAACCAAATTTAACCCAACTAATTTTTTAACTGAACTTAACCGAATTATTTTAACTGAATTAATTTTGATCATTAATTGTGCCAAAGTAAAAAAAATGAAAATACAAACTTAATTGATCAACTGAATTTAACCAAAATTTATAATTAATCCACATTAACCAAAATTATTAATTACTAATTAATCAAAATAAAAATTGAAATATTTTTAATTTTATTATTTACTTAATCAAAACGACGTAGTTTTGATAGTCGGTTAATTTGATTAATTCAGTTAAATTGACTTTTAATCGAACCTTTAATCAATTACCGAAAATCTAATTTTCTTTAACCGAATTTTTAATCCAATATTTATTCACCGAATTGAATTGTTAGAATTAATTTGAATTAATCAAATTAGCTTAAATGGCCCAAACAAATGCTCGATCCTAAATGGTAGACGAAAGACTATAAGTTGTGACTTATAAGGTAGCTTTAATCCATAATGATTTTGCCCAATGATTATGGGTGTCGGCTCATGGTTTTAACTGAAAATAGAATCAATCCATTAAATATTGAATGGAATGGATTGATTTGGCTTTTTGATTTGATTTTTTTTATTCAAAATTTTTAATTAATTTATAATTTTCAGTTATTTCGATTTGGTTGGATTTATGGTAAATTAATTTTTGATTTGATCAAGCCAATTAATTTAGTGTATTATTTATTAAGTTATAAGTATTTAGTAAGCTTTTTAATAAGCATTTGATAGTTGATATAAGTCCAAACACTGTGATAGCTGATATAAGTCCAAACACTGTAGATACGTTTTAAAATTTTTTTGTATCCATAGCCGGTATATATTTATATTATTTTCTTTATTAACCTCATCAAAATAATTGCAAATAAATTTTTTTTTAAATTAATTTTTTATGATTATTTTATTTAATTTGTATTTATCTAGAAATAAAATTTTTTATTAAATGTTATTTTAATTTTAATTAATATTTTTATTTATATAATACATTAAAATAAAAAAGTATATTCACCTTAAATTAAAAATATATACATCTACATGTAAATTATACATCATAATATATAAAAGCAATTATATTTTTAATGGTCATTTTATATTTTAACAACAACCGATAATAAAATTTTACCGAATACAAACAATAATCAGCTAACATCCTAACAACTATCAGCCACTAGCTATCATTAATTGCTATCAGGGATGAATTGTTGAATCAAACTGAAATAAATTAACCGAAATTTCTTTTGACTTAACCAAATTTAACCCAACTAATTTTTTAAAGTAATATTAATTAGTTTTTAATATGTGTGGTTATTATTGATTTATTATTCAAAGTAGCTATCATTATTATTCAAAGTAATATTAATTAGTTTTTAATATGTGTGGTTATTATTGATTTATTATTCAAAGTAGCTATCATTATTATTCAAAGTAATATTAATTAGTTTTTAATATGTGTGGTTATTATTGATTTATTATTCAAAGTAGCTATCATTATTATTCAAAGTAATATTAATTAGTTTTTAATATGTGTGGTTATTATTGATTTAAGTTAGCCATTTTTTACCAATTAGTTCTTATTAACAAATTAAAGTATGTAGTGGCAATTTGAAACCCTTCAAAAACAAATGGGGTCAATAATGTATATAACATTTTTTAATATGTGTGGTTATTATTGATTTATTATTCAAAGTAGCTATCATTATTATTCAAAGTAATATTAATTAGTTTTTAATATGTGTGGTTATTATTGATTTATTATTCAAAGTAGCTATCATTATTATTCAAAGTAATATTAATTAGTTTTTAATATGTGTGGTTATTATTGATTTAAGATCCCATTATGATAATTGATAATTAAATTAAATTAATTTATGTTAATGTTTGAATGTTAAATCATGTTGGTCATAATAACTTAAACTTATTATAATCTCTCTCTATATATAGTTAGCCATTTTTACCAATTAGTTCTTATTACAAATTAAAGTATGTAGTGCAATTTGAAACCTTCAAAACAAATGGGGTCAATATGTATATAACATATGCAAAATAAACAAAAGATGATATCATTAATGAAAGAAGTGAAAAAAGACAACTAAAGCAAAGTTTGATCTATAAAATAAGTGGAGACAACAACAGAAAACACCTTACACAACCAAACTACAAGAGAAATACAAATTTTATTACTCCTCAATTTAAAAAACAAGGAGGGGAGGGGCAATATTAATTTAATTCTTAAAAATCACTAGTGGAAAGTGGCTCATGTGCACCTTCACCAATAAAGATGTTGTCATAGACAAGGGCTGCAATGGCTGCACCAATCAATGGACCAACCCAGTAAACCCAGTGGTTAGTCCATGTCCAGCTTACAACTGCAGGGCCAAAAGAAACTGCTGGGTTCATGGATGCACCATCAAAAGCACCACCTGCTAAAATGTTGGCACCAACTATGAAACCAATTGCAATTGGGGCAATAATTCCCAAATTTCCCTTCTTTGGATCCACGGCTGTGGCGTATACAGTGTAGACCAGTCCAAACGTCATCACTATCTCAAACACCACTGCATTCCATGCAGACACCCCTGATGATAAGGCAAATGCCGATGTTTCCTGCAGTAATTAAGATATAAATTAGAGTTTGAAATCAAATATATGTAATAAAATGGCCTTGGCCATAGAAAATGTGTTTTTTTTTTTTTTTCCCCGATATAATATAACCAGGAGGTATAATTTCCTCGTGCTCTTTTTTGCTCTCTCAGCAAAATCCGGTTCCTGGGCTACAGAAAGCGTGTGTTTTTAATATAAGCATACAAGGTTGATAAACTTCTCAACCAGTCGGCAATTGCCTGAAATGAGATAGGTTTACGATTTCCACTTTATTCTTGATCAATGAGAGATAAATTTCGCATGCAATGTATGAATTCTTAAAGGAAAATAATTTTCCATGTCTAATTGTGAATAATTTGTGGAGAAGTTTCATACCAATCCACCAGTGGCGTATTTAAGGAGCAAGCAAGCAACAACAGATCCAAGCAATTGAGCAATCCAATACAAAATTCCTCTCAAGAGAGTAATGTTTCCTCCAATAAATGCACCAAAAGTGACAGCAGGGTTTACATGACCTCCTGAAATGTTTGCACCAACTGATACCGCCACAAAAAGTGCAAACGCATGAGCCAATGATGCAGCTACAAGGCCAGCCGGTGTCGATGACCCGTCACTCGTCAGCTTGTCTGCCAAACCAACCCACAAATTAGTCCTCTTTAAATAAACCAGTCTCATAGTAATAATAAATTATTAAGTTGAATTTCCCATTGAGTGTTTAACTCTGTAATGCAAAATTTTTTATTTTTATCTGAAATAGAGTAAATGGCTAAGTTAGATAGCTTACTGAAAGCCATGCCGGATCCTTCGCCGGCGAATACGAAAATAACCATAGAGAAGAACTCTGCCAAGGCTGCCCTAAGGGCATCCGGTTGGCTGGCCTCTCCCGGATTCCCAATTGCAATTCTAGTGATTGGCATTTTCTTGATTGATTTTTGGTTCTTTCTTGTGTTCTTGCCTTGGCTCTATAGTTTAAGAAGCTCTATTGCTTCTTTTCTTTCTTTTTGTATATTTGTATAGCTCGATGAGAGATGTCAGTTGAGTTTTCCCTTTATATATACCTTAAATAACGGCCGAGGAACCGGTATAATCGAGTCTAAGTCTCTTTTTCTCCAAAAAAAAATAAATAAATAAAACAAAAAGAAAAGAAAAAGAGGTATGCTGTACTACTAACCAAATAGCCAAAATTGATTTATTTTTTCATAATTTAATTTTTTTTTAATAATTTGATTCAGTTTATCAAATTTTTATTATTTTAGTTAACTTTAATGTTAATAAAAGAAAGCGCTAAAAAAATCAAACTAAATTGAATTATTTAAATGTTATTTTATTATATTTCTTAAAAAAATTTCTCTTAATGTAACTATTTTCCTTTATTTCTCGGTTATTTTTAAATTTGTTTATGAAATTCAAGTTGATTCAATTTTCTTCAAAATAAGTTCAATTATTTTGATTTTGTGAAAATTATATATTTCAATTTAATCGTTCTTTTTTTTTTATGTTGGTTTTAAATGTTCATATTTGATATATAAATTTGGTAAATTTGTCGTAAATATTAATGCTCAATAATTATTTTGAGTGCAAAAGTGTTTTTCTTAAGATTTATTATGGTACTATAAAGATTCGCAACGAAATGGACCAATGAGGATTGGACTTTTTAATCAAGTCACACGTCGGTGACTTTACAGCTAGTGAAAAGGACTTGCTAGTGCTTGCAATGGCGACACGTGTGTGACTGATATTAAATTAGCTCGGTGAAATCGGCGAAGTAGAAGATTTTGAAATCGCCGACCTAGAGAAGCGGCGGGTCCCACCATTATAATTGAGTAACGTGGTTACGTGATTGGTCACTAAAACCTCGTGGCGGGATGGGCGGCCAGTTGGTGAGTTGAGCTTTGGACCGACCCGTACGTGACTGTGAATTTTGAATATTAAAAATGTGTTTTTATGTTAATGTTTGTGGGCCACAAGGTTTGCTTGGGCTGGCTATTGTGGGCCTACAAAGTAAGTTAATTAATCATGTGCGCAACATATAAAATCTCGCGGTGGAAAAATATATATCTTCCATTGACTTATCTTATAAGCTCCATTATTAGCAAATAATATATTTTAAAAAATATTTATTTTCCTAAAAAATAAAAGAAATATTTAAGACAATCGAACAGAGATTGATCTTGAAAGACCGCCTAGTATCTTTTTTTTAAAATAATAATTAATTTTTGATTTATACATTCAATTAAATTTATTTTTTATTTTTTATTTTTTTATTAACTAAAATAAAAATTTCTCCGCCCATGCAAATTATTGCGAGGGAAAGCTAAAAAAGGACTTATTTGGGGGAGACTAATCAACTTAGTTAATTAAGTTATTGATTGTGATATCTTACCCAATTAATAGATTAACACTTAATGGACTTGATAGTTTCAATATGTAATTATGATAGAAATTTTGGTCAGCTTAAAAAAAAATTTGAGTATTGTAACAATATTGTTATATCATATGGAATATATTTTGGGGAAAAAAGAAACAATTGCTAATAAGGGTATGTTGATTGTGGAACAAGGTGTCACTTATGTTATTAGGAATGTGGATTTGAACCGAATTTGAACCGAAGCAAGCTGAAATATCGAAATTTCAAAAAATTATTATTCAATATTTTTTATTTGAGCATATATAAATAACTATTTGATTTTAATTTTTAGCTCTGCCTCGTAATCGATGCAATGGGATCAAGTGCAATAAGTTAGATTTTTTTTTTTTTTTGAAAGGCACATTTTATATATATTTATAGGTTGCCATTACTTTTTAACCATGCTCTTGCTATATTAATTTGTAGGGTTTATCCATTCTTGTAGATTTAAAAAAGATGATGAAATTGCAAACTTGAGAGGTTGTGAACGTGTCATGGGATATGATTTGATTATCAATTTGCAGTTATATGATTTCATGGAAATTTAGTTTGAATCTTCTTATTCTGCAGTAGGATTTTGTCTTGTTAATTAATTAATTTTCAGATTTAGCTACATGAAGTTTTTATTAGATTCGTATTAGCAACATTGTTATTTATTTGTTTAGTTTGTGGATATATATTTTATGTAATTGTTTGAGACTATTTATTAGGGAAACTGTTGCATTTTAATTGCATATTTTGGGCTGAAATGTTGGATAAATATGAAGCTGAAAATCACATATTAAGATGGCATTTGGTTCAATTGATTTATACATAACAACTAGTATATAAGTATTTAGTAAGTTTTTTTATCAATAGCTGATAGAAGTTCTAAATAACTCCTCGTTCCATCAGTTAAATTTTAAAGCTTTTATATTAGTAACTAGAATTTGAATATTATTTTATTTGAATTCTATTAACCTCACAAAAATAACTATTAATAAAATTTATAAATTAATTTATGATTGTTTTATTTATAATTATTTAAAAACAATACTTCCTCAGTTCTCTTACTTTAGAGAAAATTTTCATTTTGGGTGTTTATTTTATATAGAGAATTTTACTATAATTGAAAATTTTGAAAAGGATGACAAAAGAAAAAGTCTAAAATGTCCTGATAACCTCTGTTACTGCCTTTATTTCGATTCAATTAACAAGAACGGAGGTAAACAAAATGTGGATTGGATAATTAATGAGCTTATATTTCCAAACCAAAAGTAATTGCTACGTTTATAAGCAGTTCAGTAGAAATGTGTTCAACTTTATAAATTTGAACACAAATAAGAGTATTACAGCAGCCAGGTACCCTAATATGACCACACATTTTAATTGTTGCACGCTAATAATAAAAAAGTCTTTATGGTAGAAGAATCTATAGCAAAACGATGACATGTGCTTGACAATCTTGCCCTATTTTGACAAAATCAAACGCGAAATTTTTTCGTGGATTATGTGTATACGCATTATATAACGGTGGGCTCAACTTTACGTATTTGGACATGAATATGACTATTTTTCTTGGAAAGTTTTCATAATATGGTCATAGATTTGTATTGTTGTATCCTACATTTAAAAATTGCCTTTAAATTGACACTCCACGTTACTAATATGGACACAAATTTTCAATCATAGCGAACAAACTCAATACATTCTTTTCTGGACTTAGTGTATAAAGAAGATGAGTTTATCATGTTTGTAGACAACTTTCTACATACTAGTGCTCTATTTTTTAAAACGAGGTAAATTTACTGAAATTGAAGTTGAGGAGACTCTTGCAATCCTCAAAAATTTTAATCTTGGAGCACCTTGAACTTTGCAGATGATCCATCGTACACTTGAATTTATAAATTTTAGTAATATTACACACATTTCGATACTAATATTAATCATTTTTAGGATTTTTGCTTTTTATATGCAAAATCTACTTGATATGCAGTTGACATGACTTTTGAAACAATAATTTGCATAAATTTCAACTTTTTAATTAGTATTTAATTGATCTAATTTTACAAGTTGAAGTATTCAATAACATTAATTTGAAAATTGAAGTATTCAATGGATATAATTTTATAAGTTGAAGTATTTAACGAAAAAAACGAATGTATCAATGGATATAAAAATATAAGTATATAATAGTTAGAGTTATTTTTAAACTTTGTCCTGATCCACAATAAAAATTAAAAAGTGCTTATAAAATTAAATTTCAAAACTTTTTAATTAGTATTTAATTGATCTAATTTTACAATTTGAAAGTATTCAATAACATTAATTTGAAAAAATTGAAGTATCTAATTTTACAAGTTGAAGTATTCAATAACATTAATTTGAAAATTGAAGTATTCAATGGATATAATTTTATAAGTTGAAGTATTTAACGAGTCAAAATAAAAATTAAAAGTGCTATAAAATTAAAGTAACAAAGTTCAAGAATGAATTTATGAATTTTTGCATCGGTTGAAGTAAGAAAGTATAATATTTAAGAATACGCACTTCATTGATTTAACAACCAATATTAGGTAATTAAGACTTGAGTGGCAGTGCTATGTCCACCACCTAAATTTTATTTATTTATTTATTACCACTAAATTATATTTTACATTCAAACTAACGAATAAAAATAAATTAATTAAAAACATAGTGACGAAGGGTTGCCTTCTATATTATCAAATTATCGTAAATAAATAAAATAATAAAAGAGGATTCATATTCAAACTTAAATATAAGTATGCATAATCATTAATAATCAATCTATTAGTTGTAATAGAAAATCAGTTAAGAATGCGCTTTCAATCAGTTGGATTCAAATCGAATTAGTGCAAATTAAATTAACCGAATTTTCCTTTTCTAAGAAATCAAACTGAATTAAAATTATATAGAGAATTAGTTCGGTTTACTTTACTTTATTTTATTTTGTTTTGTTTTGTTGAATTTTTTTAAAATTTTAATTTTTAAAAATTGAACCTTATAGTTTAAAAATTAAACCGAATCAGAACCGGTTCAATTAGGTTAATTTAATTAACTAGCATTCAGCCTGATAGCCAATCTTTTTAAATTTATTGGAGTCTTTTATGGGCCGAAATAACATTAGAGGATTCGAATTCGAGACCTCCAACTCATCACATAAATGAGAAGACCAACCAAACCACCATATAAATCTGTTTCCAATAGCCAATCTTAAAATTTTAAAAGAAGTTTTTTAATTTAAAAATTATACTTATCAAATGATAGATTTTTTTCTATTTTCCAGTTTTCACAGAAAATAATAATCCAATGCATACAATTTGAAAAAAATTATGGTTTAATTTCACAAATAAAAAATATCAATAAAATGAAAAAATAAATCTTATCAATTGATGCAATAATTTAAGGAGAGGAAAAAAAATCTAACAACATATTATTATTTTCAAAAAAAATCGCATGTTTGGTCGCACGAGATAAAATAAATCAATCACACAATGAATTACAGATTATGAAAAAAAAATTATGGCGTTTAATTTCATCACAAATAAAAAATATCAAGATTAAAATGAAAAAATAAAATCTTATCAAATTCGATTTCCCGCAATAATTTAAGGAGAGAAAGAATTAAATATTTCATGAATGAGAAATCTAAACTAACATATTATTATTTTCAAAAAAAAAAAAATATATATATAATATATTATATATATAATTATTGATCTTAAACCGATTCTAGTTGGCATCAACCGACAAAAACTTCTTAATCTATTTAAATGTACGAGAACACATGTTATAATCACTGTCCCTTGAAAATATTAGAAATTATTGTTCTCATGAACTAATAATAAAATATTGACATAGTGATCTAAAAATCCACACAATAGGAGAGCCAATACTGTGTATTCTGCCAATGATGTCTTTCTCTTATATTAAGCTTTCATCTAATATATATATATAATAGTATATACTAATATATTATATTAATCTAAGTCTAAGAGTATTTGATGATAAAAACCCCAAATTAAATTTCTTCAAGGCGACAAAATCCATCTATTGGACCGAACCTCATTTCTATGTAACATTCAAATGGTTGATAGTTTTCTTACATCGCCTGTTTATTTATGATGGAACTGTCCCTTTGACAAGGGCTGAAATTATAAATCAAGTCTAAGAGTAGTACCCAAATTAAATTTCTTCAAGGCGACAAAATCCATCTATTGGACCGACCTTCATTTCTATGTACACAAATGTTGATAGTTCTTACATCGCTGTTATTTATGATAGGAACTGTCCTTTGACAAGGGCTGAATAGTACTCGGCTTCTTACAATTCAAAATCGAATCAAACTGATTTATTCTAATTAGATTTGGCTAAATGTTTAAAAATTTTGACGGGTTTGATAATAAAAATATTTACTTTTAATTAAGTTCATTTATTATATATAACTAATTAAATTTATTTTTATACTAAAATAGTTTATTTGGTTAAACATAACTAAATTCAAATCGAGCCAGACAATTTAATTTGATTTTATTCAGATTTTATACTATTTGGTTTCAAATGCAGTTGTTATAAAATTATATTCCTATTAGACCAAAACTGAACCTATGCAGTTTGATTCGATTAACCGAACTCACCTCTTTCTTTTAGCAGCCTTCTGGGTCGAATGCACCACCGAAGATTGCCTGATTGGGTTTGTTTTCGGCCACTTATGTGCAAAGATCCACTCTACTAATTTGAAGCCCAGTAAGTAATCACGCCAGAAAATGAATCGGAAATTTTAGATTTTGATATTCAATCGACATATGAAAGATATATTCCTAATTTCTTGGATATACCCTCCACTTTCTCACGTAGTACAAGGGAAAGTCATTAAGGATATATATAATATTAATTAATTAATACTTATATTTGTATGGTATAATTATAAAATATCAAGTAAGAAAAATAAATCAAGTAATATCCTTAATTCAAAGCATGGCTAAACCAATATGAATAAAAATAATATATATATAAGGAAGTCAAAAGTTTAAGTTTGTTTAAAAGGATAAATTCAAGAGAAAAATTTACCTATGCCTCGTATATAGGCTATTTATACTGTAATTTAATTACAAATAATGTTTTGATTTAAAAGAGAATATTTTAGAAATGACTTGTATATATCGGGTCTATAGCTCACTTATAGATTAATTAATAAAAAATAAATATTAGTTGAAACGAGGGTATTTTTCGACCATATATTGAGAAAAAAAAATGAAAATGATATTTAAAAATTTTATATTTTGTTAGTTTAATCTGGTCTCGGAACCGAGTATAAATAAGTCCAATCCAATACTTAAAAAGTGAGGGAGAAACAATTGCGTATGCCTACCCTTGGATATAAAATCATATTATATAACAAAAACCAACGATAACTAACTCTCAAAATCACTTGGAATGGCAGGAGGCTTTTAGGCTTCAAAGCTTATCTGGGTTCTTGTGGAACTTTGGGTTGCTTAAGATGCTCTTTGTGTTGCTTGGTCTCGAGGGTGGCGTCGGGTAAAATTACAGCTGGACTCGCAGTATGTTGTTGGTGCATTAACCGGGTCTTATCCTTTGGCTTTCAGACTAAGAAATTTAGTTACCAAATGTAAAAACCTAATGGCTAAGGATTGGAAAGTGGTCATTTAGATGATATACCGTGAAGCAAATCTTGTGGCTGACACAATAGCTAATGAAGCCTTAGGAGATCAGATTGGGCTTCAGCTGGTTCATCATCCATCTAGTTTAGCTAATTGTGCTGGTGCTATTTGGCTTAGAAATGTCTAATCTATGGGTTTAACCCCCTCCTTTCTATTTAAAAAAAAAAAAAAATCAGAATATCTAGAGTGTGGTGTCTTGCAATATTTAAATCTCCCTTTTCCTCAATATCCAAAAAGAAATAACTTATAACCTAATAATAATTTATCTCTGATCTCTTGCTTAATGTTCATGTAAGCTCATCAGGAAAGCAAACAAAAAATAGAAGTCTTGCTTGTGAGCTTCAAAAGTAGTTGCTCTTACCATTATTATCACAGTAATTAGCATAATCAAAGTTTGGCACAGGTTGTGCACTAGTCATATTGCAATTAGCCTCTCGTCCTCTGTGAACAATACACAAATTTGATCACTGAAACCTCCCTAGGCCTAAACAAATCAAAGAAATATTGAAGTTATATTAATTACCATCATTGTAATTGAAGGAAGAAGCTATGCCAATTGCCTTGTCATAATTGGTATTGTAACCAAAATCCGTGCCTTGAAGAGCCATTAGATCACTATCATCAAAAACAACATCTGCGAGTGGCTGATAATTTCTTTGGCTCCATAACCCTAACCTACTACAAGTCAGTTAAGATTGAAACACAATTATTATTATTATTATTATTCTTTTTAATAACCTTGCTCTTTGCAGTCTCCACCAGCTTCTCTAAACCATCCACAAGCTCCTGCAACTCCTAAAACGATTTGGACTCTTGGAAAAACTCAAAATTTATGTTTTCTAATGTTTTGATGTTTTCAATTTCAAGCTCTAGTTGATGGATCTCGTCGAAAAGAGACAGTGCAGATTGCTTAGCTCCGTCGTCTACTGCGTCGGGAATAAGAAAAGCATCAAGAACTGCGTTTACAGAAGGATTGCCAATAGAGTAAAATTTTCGTTTGGGTTTGGAACAAGGCGAAGAGACTAAAATAGCAGCTTTAGCATCGCAAAGCGTGAACAATTCTCCTGTTTTATTGAAAAGAACTTTACATCGTTTAGTGAAACTTACTGCTTTTTACTTCTCGTTTTCTCTCTTCTGCATAGGAATCTTTCTTGTTTGGATGCCATTGAAACTATCTTTCTTGTCTTGTCGAATCCTGATTCGTATAACCGCCTACGTTTCTCGATATAAAGTAACACTTGCGTAAGGATTCGTATATATGTATCCGGTCGGCGGTAAACCAAAATTTGGAGCACTTAAAACTTATAGGTGTGTCCTGATAGGTAATTTCATCTATGTTAAGCAGCCAAGACCAAAATCTAATTGGACCCTCTCGCTTGCACACGTAGGTCCCAATTTCTCAACCCCATCACACAAACAAATATGATAGCCCGGGAGATGGAACCGCCTCTTGCTGCTGTTCCATTGTCGTGGTTGTTTGTTTGCGCTGACCGGCTTGATTGGGGACTTACGACCGTTGGGTCTATCGCTGTTGCTGCCCATGGCACTGCTCTCGTTGTTTAATTGCATACTTCGCTAAGATTGTTGAGGTTAAGAGGATTGGTCCTGAGGAGCGATTCCAGAGGCCGAAAGATGCGAGTAGTATGGATATTTCAATTTTTGAAACTTATTTTCGTTGCAAAGTTTAGACTCTCAGTAGTGTTTGTGTTTGCTTTTTTTGATGACAAAATGAGGGAAATAGAAGGAAATTGAGTTTTGATTTATGGGTTTACATCGGTTATGACTTGTATAATTTTTTTTTTTTTTCCTTCTGAGGTCAGATGAATTTTCACAGAGTAAAGCAATTAATTGACGGAGTAACTAAATTTGGGATTCGAAACTTAGTTTGAAATTGGTAAAGTTTGGACTTTTGTAGTTTGATAGTGAAATTGCATGATGAAGCAAAATTAACTATCTTACTATCTTAAAATGCAAGCTCATCAGGAAAAAACCGAAAAAAAAAAAAAAAAAAGAAAATCTTGCTTGTGAGCTTCAAAATTAGGTTCACACCCTAAACCTTTAAACAAAAGATAAGCTAGAGTAAATTAAAATTCAGTAGAACCAAAGCCTATCATCAGCAAGAGATGAATCTCCATGCTCATTATAAATAACATGAGGATGAGCATTGCCATCAAAAATCCCAAATGCATCAGAGTAGTCTGAAAGAGACACATTATTGTTGGCATGGTCCACAGCTTCATGAGATAAATTAAAATCTCCTAACCTTGAATTGCTCTTATCATTATTACCAAAGTAATTAACAAAATCAAAGTCACCAATTCTATTGCTATCAGCTTCCTTCTCCTTCAATAACACTGTTAACAACACAAACTCACTATTCAATAATTTGATATAAAGAAAACAATAACTGTAAATTTCAAATAAGAAAAAATAAATAATTAAGTTCAAATACTCTTAATTATAAGAGTTAAGGGAAAGGCTACCCCTATCGTACATAAGTCAATAAAAAAAATTAATAGAGCTAATTGCAAAGGCAAGAATTATTAATTACCTTCATTATATTTGAAGCAAGACGCTGCTGATGCTGGTGGAGACAAAAAAATATTTCCACTTTGGACATTATCAACATAATTGGTTCTGTAATCAAAATCCATGCCTTGAAGAGCCACTATATCACTTTCGTCAAAAACAACGTTTCTGATTGGAGATGTATTATTAGAAACAACATCTGCGAGTGGCTGATAATTTCTTTGACTGCATAACCCTAACCCATTACAACCAGTTAAGCTTGTAACACAATTATTATTATTATTATTATTTTGATTAACCTTGCTCTTTGTAGTCTCCACCAGCTTCTCTAAACCATCCACAAGCTCCTGCAACTCCTCAACCGATTTGGACTCCTGGAAAAACTCAAAATCTACGTTTTTTAACGTTTTGATGTTTTCAATTTCAAGCTCTAGTTGATCGATCTCGTCCAAAAGAGAGAGTGCAGATTGCTTAGCTCCGTCGTCTACTGCGTCGGGAATACGATTTTGAAGAAAAGCATCAAGAACTGCGGTTACAGAAGGATTGCCAATGGAATAAAATTTCCGTTTAGGTTTGGAACAAGGCGAAGAGACTAAAACAACAACTTTAGCATCGCAAAGCGTGAACAATTCTCCTGCTTTATTGAAAAGACCTTGACGTCGTTTAGTGAAACTTACTGCTTTTTGCTTCTCGTTTTCTCGCTTCTGCATTGGAATCTTTCTTGTTTTGGACGCCATTGAAGGCATGTTTGTGCGAGCTCAATTGGAAAACAACCAACACTGAGCTTTCACAAGTTTAATCTTCAAACCAAGGAAATTTTTTCACGCCGATTACTTCTTCTTCTTCAACAGCTCTATTAGATAGCGAGAATACAGAAAATAGAAGAAAACGAAACCTAACATCTTTCCCTAAACACGTATACATATATAGGAATATGGAAAACCTATCCCTAAAAGGAGAATCACATAAGATCTTTTATTGATTACTTATTAATTTAATAATAATAAACGAATCCTCTGCACGCATCCATTTAAAAAGACACCTGACACCATGGAAAGCCATCATCGAAGGTTAAGAGCTGATGAAGTAGCTGCTAATCAATGTCATATAAAATTAAAATTAAAATTGAGATGTGTAAAAAAATTATCTTCACAATTTAGAAGGGAAACTAGAGATCCGAATTTTTTAAAAAAAAATTTTAAAAATAAAGCAAATAAAACCTTCGACAAAATGCGCATATTAAAAATTTAGTCAACAAAAGTTATTTTGGGCTTCTTTACCCTTAATAATTCATTAAGATACTAAAAACTCTTCATACAATGAGTAATTTAAGAAGTTATTATGAAAAAAATAATTGTTTATATATTTAAATTTAGAAACCTTGTAAACATTTTGGGACATCCAAAAAATGAATAACAAGGCAAACAAAATAGGACAGAGGGAGAAGTATATTTTTAAAACAGTAGAGACTGATTAAAGGGTCAAACTTCATGGAGTGATTTGTAATTTATCATTGGCAATATTATGTTTTAAGGGTTTTTTTTTTTTTTGAAAAAAAAATCCTTTTAAGCTAACGCATAATACATTATTGTAATATAAATTTTATGGATATAAAAATGCAAAAAATTTAAATACACATTTTTTTATAAACTAAGTGTTAAATTCGTGAAGATTATTAATATTATATTGTATTACTTCTCAAAAAAATATTAATATTATATTAAGCTAGCATGTATGATATTTTGATACAAATTTGTAATATATAATATCTTTAAAACATTGTCCTAATACATAAATTAGCAATTGAAATTTTAAAAAAAAAAAATAATCGCTTTTAATTTGACCTATTAAACTATTTAATTACAGTTTTATATGTGCTCATTAGATAAAATTTTTACTAATAAAGATACTCAATAAATACAATTTTACAAATTCAATAGACTTTTCTTACAAATTTTCAGATGCCAATTTATACATTTTGCCTTAAAATATTATCACATAAGATTTAACATCCTATTAATTAATGAAAACATAGAAAACAAAAAAAAAAAAAAACACATGTAACACGTTCTTGTAATACTAAAATATAGCAGCCAAAGAATCTTCTGTTATGCCTTGTATTCGACAAACATCACCTTACTAAAAAAGGCCATGTTTTTTTTATTATTTTTATTATTTAAAAAATAGAGAAGCAAAACTTGAAATAGACAGAAGAAATGCACTGGCAGCATACTCATAAAGCCCACCCACAAACTCAATGATATCTTCTGCCACAGAGTCTCCCTATAGTCTCATATGCCCTTTTTCTTTTCTTTATTGCAGAGTAGCTACACTAATCTCAACCATTGTAGTATACAAAATCCACCACATAGGGTTACTTTTTAGCCAACTCAATACAGCTGTAATGTTGTATAGCATGCACAGTTATCCACACCTTAGAAAAAGTAAATAATTAGTTGTTTACAGCATCTTTTTCGGTATTCTCCTTGATATATTTTTTTTAAGAAAAATATGTTATTTTTCAAATAATTCATCTTTCATGTGAATGAATGTAAAATTAAAATTAATTAAAATATATTAGAATTTTTATTTTATAAGACTGTAAAAATATAAAAAAAATTATTGTTAATTATAAAAAAATTGCATAAAAATAATGAATTGTATTAGTTTTTAATGATTGGTGATGGTAGTTGATAATGTTTGATGACTTAAATTGATTAGCTGTGAATCTAATTCATAACGATAACTATCAATAATCGATAAATTAATATATTTTTTTTTAAGAAAAATAAATGGGTTTATTTTTCAAATAATTCATGCTTTTCATGTGGAATGAATGTAAAATTAAAATTAATTAAATATATTAGAATTTTTAATTTATAGACTGTAAATATAAAAATTATTGTTAATTATATAAAATTGCATAAATAATAATGAATTGTATTAGTTTTTTTAATGATTGGTGATGGTAAAGGTTGATTAAATGTTTGATGAACTTAAATTGATTAGTCTCTGTGAAATCTTAATTCATAACGATAACTATCAATAATCGTATAAAATTTAATATATATATTATATATATTATTTATATATATATAATAGTTAATTAAGTTTTTTCAAAAAATAACTTTTATTTTTAAAAATGAAAATTTATATATAATAAGTTAATTAGTTTTCAAAAAATACTTTTATTTTTAAAAATGAAAATTTATTTTTTTAAATAACTTTATTAGAAGAAAAATATTTTCAGTTAATAATTTTTCTATGCATCTCAAAAGTCAGAAATATTTCAATTAATAGTTTATTATTTCCCATATTTTGGAATTTTGTTATCAAATTTGGTTTTGAGTTATTATTCTCACATTATGATGATTTTATTTAGGGTATTTTGTGATTTGGACAGTTGTGCAGATGGCTCTAAAAAAAATAAATTTGAAGGTCATTAGATTGGACTCGTAAAAAGATCATGGAGTTGAACAACTACCATAAATAATCAGCAAGTGGAACAAGTGATTGCATACAAAATTATTATGCTTTGTCAACTCGATCAAATCAAAATTGTGTATTTTTATTCTTTATACAAGTGATTTATTGTTAGATTTTCTATATAAAAACATATTGATCTGTATCTCATATATGTCCTCTTAATGAAATCTCTACTTTGAGTCCTTTTAAAAAAATTATAAGAATCGGAACATTTTTTTTTTTTGGAACCAAAGGAATCAAAAAATTGTAGGAGAAGACTCTTTGGTTCCATTTGTTTTCAGAAAATAATTTATCGTTGGAAAATATTTTCTTTGAAAAATATTTTTTAAATGACTTATTTTTCACTATTTGATTGCAATATTGAAAATTAGTTAAAAAATACTAAAAATCTTTAACTCATAAAACCATAAAAATATTTATAATAACAAAATTTTCATATGTTAAATATTTTATTATTAAATATGAAAAAAAAAGCAAAAAAAAGTAGATTATGAAAGTCGTCAGTGACCGTGATGGTAGTCGACGATTGCTTGCAACTAATGGATGAATGGTGATTTGTGACGAATGGTGACCAATAGTGAATAGTGAATGGTGGTAGTGGCTACCGCTAATTAATAAACTAAAAAATATACCTTTACAAGGTTATGATAAGTTTATCAATGTTTGAAAAATATTTCCTCATTGCAAATAGGAAGTCATTTTCCTTAAGAATAACTTAGTTTTCATTTGACTAAGAAAATAATTTCCGTTGACTTATTTTTCTAAATGCCCCAAAAAATGAAAGTTGTTTGAATATTTTGTTGCATGTTATTTTACAGAATAAATGGATCCTTCATTGCCACCAGTTAGATTTGAACTAGAACCAAACAATATTGTGGATAAATCTTTTACTCTCTTGAAAATAGAAAATAATCTAGAAAATGGAAAGTTATTTTCCTTAAAAATGACTTAAATTTTCTTTTATCAGGAAAATATTTACTATTGACTTATTCTTCTGAATGCCCCAAACAATAGAAAATTGTAAAAATATTTTCCTGCAAATTATTTTATGAAAATAAATGGAACCTTAGGGTAGAACTAAAACACTCCGCAAAGTCGGGAATTTTTAATGATTTAACCCAAATTGTAACTTAGTAAAATAGATTGTGAAGTATGTATATACAAATTAAAAAAAGAAAGTCATGTATAATCTATCTATACTATTTATAAAAGTAGAAATGAGAGAGAAATAATATGATTGCTGATACTGTCCTTGTGAAATTCAAGATATTCCAAAATAATTAGTTTTATCCAATTAAAAAATTTTAACCTAAAAATATATATAATATTTCTATAATTTGATTGGATGTTTTTTTAAAGTTTTTTATTCCAATTAAAAAATTTTAAACCTAAAAATAATTATATAATAAATTTCTATAATTTGATTGGATGTTTTTTTTTTTTTTTGACTTTTTTTAATAGATAATATTAGATATAGATAATTAAAGCATTTCAAAATTTAAAATTTTATTATTATTATCTTAATTATGTCTAAATTAATATTATAATTTTATTTATATTGATTAATAAATTATTTAACAATAATTTAAATAATTTTTAATAATTTAATTATTAATTATTATGATATAAATTGTTAGCTTCAACATTTATTGTTTTAAATAAATATATGTAATGAGGCATTTGAAAATTTTTACTTTTTTTTTGAATTTATTTTTAAATATAAAATATTCTTGATGAATTAACGATTTGAATTTAAAAAAGAATATAATTAAAGTTTCTTTAAATTAACAAATTGTCATTCTAATTTGGTACCTCCCAAAAAATAAGATAAAAAAATAATTACTTTTAAACATTCTTCGAAATTTAATTAAAGTTATATTGATAATCTTAATATAATTCCAAAATCATATTTCTAGTTACACGAATATAGGGATTTTATTTTAATAATTTTTAAATGTTTTTAATGAATTTTGATTCGCTAAAGAAAATTAAAAATAAAAATTTATTATTGTTTATAAATATTTAATTTGATTTATTAGATTATTTTCTTATTCTATTGTTAACATATATTTATTTATTACAAGAGATTACAGTGAAAGTTATTAACAAAACATGTAAATTAATTATAAAAAGTATAATAGAAGCTATTCGATGATTTTTATAAATCAATTTAGTTTTTCCTTAAAAAATAAAATGAAAGCAATAAACGTATAATAAAAACTGATAAATCAATACGTTAACTTAGAACTAAAAAAGTATTTACTGTATATATAAAGCGTAATATAATTTAACCACTCAATCTAAATAAGAATTTATATTTTAATATTATGTAAACAAAAAATTACACAAATATAAAGAATGAACATATAACGAGCATAGTCAACGTG